GCTGTAATATCCTGTGAGGCCTGGAAGTGAGGGGTAAAGCTTGGGGTTACCCACCATCTAGCTAACAGATTGACAACAACATGAAGAGGATACCATTAGGCTGTGTGCCTTGTACTCTTTCTGTAACATCCAACCACTCTTCAGTTATGACACAGGTGATATGCATGAATTCTGCACTGCACTTCAGCTTCCTTCCTCCAGCTTCACTAAACTTCCAAATGGCTGGGTATTTTTGTATACTTGTTTATCAGAACTCAGGATCATTGCCTGTATATATATTTACATATCTATGTGTGTGTATGTATGTGTGCATGTTTGCAAAAATATTTATATATACACATATGTATATTAAATATACATATATATGGACCCATGTGTGCATTTAGTGTATTACTAGGAAGAAGAAGAACATGTTTATAGCTTTTATATAAGGTCACATAATCTCTGCATTTTGAACCAGAGCAGAGCCACAGTTCTTGAAGCAGCCCTTTTCATTTATGTGTGTGGCCAGAGTGTGACGGCAAGGTATGGCCAGTTTTGTCCTAACTTTCTCACCGGAACCTGTTGATGAAACTAGTCTAACTAGTATTTCTAGTGCTATGTTCAGAATGTCATTCATGACTGCACTTGAAGGAGGAGCTTGGGATCATTTAAATTGAAATCTTGATTCTGTCACTGATTTCTCATAGTGGATTAGAAAAGCCATGCAGTGTCTCTACCTTATTTCCTTACACACCAGGGAGGAGAACACCACTGTAAGAATACTGGCAATATTTTTATTCTAATGTCCTCTACTTCATGGGGATGGATACAAGGATGCTTGCATAAAGCATTGAAAATAAATTATTCATCTGAACTTTTTTGGGAAGCTGAAAAACATCTAGCAATTGTGAGGATGTATTTTTCTCCACAGTTTATTAACAACAAATCACTTGTTTCTATTGCCAGTTCTAGTGAACTAGCAAGCTGCCAAGGTGCTGATGAGTGTACAGTCTGAATAGCAATTCCAGTGCCACTGGCCTTGATGATTAGGAACATTGCTGAATATAGATAGTGTTGTCTTGACCCTTCTCTTTGCCTCCAACCTGAATGAGTTCTACCCTGCTCCAAAACATTTGATATCTTCTTTAACTGAAAAGCTTAGAACATTTTGTTTTGTTTTTCAATGAAAGCATGCTGCCACTTCTTGAAAGCATCCTTATGTAAGACAGAGAAATGGCCAAAGATTTGCGTCCCAAAGTTGCTCAAGGAAGAGCAACTGCATTTTTACTACAGCAATTCAAATACTGAAGCTAATAGAAGTGGCTGCCTCCAGACATGCTCCTTTGAGCCCTTTCATTTTTGCAGAACTGTGATTAAGGTAGTTGGTTTTCTTCCCCATCTCACCAACTCCTCATCTACCACTGCTGTCCCCCATATCAATTTATATAAGAATTTGAGGTGTAGAGATACAGGCCAAAATAATTTTGAAAGGCAATGTGCTGAGTCCAGCTAAGAGAGACTGGGTTCTTTCTCATGTGAGAGTTTAATAAAATAATGTTACAAAATACCTGTTTCAATCCATGGAAACAGAATACTGAAAGGAATGACCAGGCCCATTAGCACAGGGTATCTGCTGGGTGAGTGATGTTCCACCATCATTTCCATGAGCAGCACGTCGGACTGCCATTCTTTCAGACCAGATATGTCTATACTCCCTTAGGCTTCAAGAGGAAAAGTTAAGCTTTCTCCAATGCAATGGTTCCTGTCAAGTCATGCAATATCCACAAGCATTGGGAGCTACATATATTTGGTTGCAACTATGAGAATTAAAAAGATGTTACACAAAAGACAGCCTTTTAAAAATAGCAAATAGCTATCTTTGCCCAAGCAGATATGTCAGGACATGGCACTACAGAACACTACCTGTTTCAACCCTCGTAACTGTAGGCCAGGGGCTAAAGGATCATCAGAGTAACTATTTCCTCCTTGTACAACAAACTACAATTCCTACTCAGTGTGGTCCTCTTCATTTGCCACCAGTCTTAGCTGGTTTTTGCTACTTGCTATTTCATTGTTATTCAAGTAAATAAGTGTATTAATTTGTAATCCAGTTTACCAACAGACTGAAATGAATAATCTATAGTCTAGTGTTTGTTTCTATAAAATGTTTTCCTATACAGATCTGTTTAGCAAAGAAGAAAAGTAAATTTAGTGATATTTTTCACAAAGACAAAGTTCTCTGAAGGTCAGAAATACCAGTCAACCATCAGTAATTACAACGGATACTGATATAGGAACGTGAGGCTACAGGAAAAGGTGACATTTGGCTGTCTGCACTGTACATTTCTTAGGAAAAATAATTTCAGTAGGTTCATTATATGAGGGGGGTAAAATCCCCAAAACAAGAGACCTTCCTATCACCCCTTCACTCTGCTCCTATCATAGGTGCTAAATAACAAAGGCAAACATGATATGTTGGGAAAATACATGATCGAGCAGACTTTGTAAGAGAAAGTGTACCATACCAGACAGAACTGTTCTTTGGACATTAATGCATCCTTCACCAGCAACTGCTGATCCAATTAAACTTTCAACTATCTATCCCCAACATAAACTTTTAAAATCCTACTCAGCATTGAACAGTGGAGGCATCGTAACTGTGCTCCGAATTATTCTGCCTAAAACTAAAAAAGTGTTCTGTTTGGAGCAGAAACTTGAAATCCATGGAGTTCACTGTTTCTTAAATGTGGATGTTCATGTGCTTCTTGTAAATAGTTCTTTAATGTTAGACTATGTCATGTCTTCAGAGATCTTGCTTTGTTTGCATTGAATGTGACAGAGGCCAACGCTTCCAATGACGTTTACAGCACAGTAATATCTATTCATAAACAATCAACTTCATTAAGGAGAGGGTAATATTTAGTATTTTCTAAATATTTTCCACAAGTATTTTATATAATTTAAAAATTCCCAGTATAGTTCTTAGATGTGTCATCTGTGAATCAGTGTGAGAGAGCTCTAAGTCACATTCATGGTTCCCTGAATCCTAGGCTGCTGAATTTTTCCTAAGGCACAGACCTAAGTATTATGCTAAATCTTGGCTGCTGGTAATAGCTCCTGGCAAACTATGGGGATTTATTGCTTTTTGGGATACATTACTTTTCCTGGCACTGAGTTAATTTTGTACAGAGCTCTCCATACTATTTCAATGCTTTCCAACTTAATTGAAGGTTTAGCTGATCATTTTAAATGCTCTGTAGAAGGAATGTGAAAAATAACAGTGACCTGGACCCTGATACCACATTTTAGCTTGGTAACCTCCAGCTTGTTGCTCATCCCCTTACATAGCTTCCTCACTGATGAGCATCCTAAAAAAAAGATGCTTTTCACAAAAACTTACCTAAAAACAAGTGTAGGATGAAATTTTCAAAATAAAACCCCTGAAATTTAAAAGAAAAAGGAAAAAAGAGGATTATTAGTCAGATGATAAAATAGCTTTCCTAGTACCTTTTACTTTGATAGTTAACTCACTTCAACCATCGATTTTATGTCATGAGTGTTTAATGGCTAATGCTTAGTTTCAAAAGGAAATAAAAGTCTAGTTTGGATTAAGTTCTTATAATTCTAATTTTGATCCAGTCAAATCATACATTTTCAAAAGCAACATAAATATTTAAGACAGACTATTTCATTACTCAGATTCTGAATTCTCATACTGAATTATGAAAAAAAATGATTGTTTGGGGTGGGAGGGAGGTTGGAAGAGAAAAAACATCAATGCTAACGCCTAAACCCAAGAGTTCTGTGGTTAGTGAATTTTCTCCACATGTTGTTACTGTTTGCTAAGCTTCACCAAGCACTACTCATTAGTTTTTTAAATAAATGTTTCATTAAGGAAACCAATAAAACACACAAGTGCCTGTATTTTTAAATAGTGTTTATCAAGTCTGAATGAAATTCAGCCTTTCAGCAGGCACCTACTGTCAGCATAGGTTTATAAATCACTGTCTGGTGTTCTACCAGAAAGGATACAGTGGTTTTGAGACACTCCTTGCTCTTAATAGAAATAATGTAAAAGGTGTTCCACTATTTCCTTTCCTGTAGGCAAATGTGTGAAGATGGTATAAACAGCGAAATTTCTGCCTTGTAAATAATTAAAAAACATCCACCCATCTTCTTCTCTGCTGCCCAGTTTTCTGTAGACAAAGATTTCACCAGCTTTCGTGCAAGTTTACAAAAATAATGTATTTCTACCTGTAGAATTATTCTGTTCTGTTGAATATAGCTGCTATACTGTGGAGATTACATCTACCTTAACACAACAGGTAGAACTGAAGGGGCTATAAGATACTTTGCTACCTAGGAATAATGG